CCCCAAAACCCCAAAACCCCAAAACCCCAACACCATTTTATTTTATAGAAATAATCTAAAACTCCGTTATAAAGACATGAGCCAGATCCAACGTAAGTCCCTGAGCTAACTGTAGGTTCTAAAACTCGTAAGCCTCCCAAGGTGATAAAGATCCAGGAATTGCAACCAAAAGAGGAATACAAAGAGTAATCTTATTAGCTCTCATTCCTTAGTGAATCATACCTAAAGCCTTTTGGAGCAGGCACTGAAAAGGATAACTCTTTCACAATACTTAATGGAACTCTAACCTCTATCCATACGATTCCTTCAGGTAAATTTCCTGAAGTAAAGGTGAGTCTGATTTCTGAAGTACGCTAATGATACACATTGTGGAAGCCATAAAACTTTCTCATGACATATAATACCAACAGAAAATTACCCATTTATTTCCTTTGTTGCAGATAATTTCGGAAAATCTGAGAATTCTTATAGGAAGGTAATGACTCACTGATTCTGAGCGATGATGAAGAAGTAAAGAACTTATCAAAAGACCACACCAGCATGAAACAGACAGATATTGAAGAAGTCATGGAATTTGTAGATATCCTCTGGGAGTCTAAGGATAACCCAGATCAGGCCAAAGTTGTCCTCCAGGCTTTCAAGTAAATATCAAACAGGTAACCAATCTTGTAAGTTCTAGATGAAGAAAATAAGCAGGAGAATGATAGCGGCAATATTCTAGAAGAACTAGACCTTGAATCTCAGTCTGATACCTCAGTTAACAAGATCTTAAAGCAGTCTAACAAATTTGCAGAAGAACTTGAAATGAAAATGGATAAAATGGAAGATATCATTGAGCTAAAGAAGCAACAACAGCTGGAGAAAAATCTCGAAGACGCATGTAAGCTCAATGAAGATTTCGACCTAATTACTTATAGCCTTATTAAAGTCAATTGAAATGATCGAGAAGTTCAAAATAATCGATGGAGAAGATCCAGAGTTTTCCTTAAAAGAAACCCAAGCAAGGCCTGAAGTAAATCTTAAAATAGAAAATGAGCTCTGTGATATGATTGTTGAGTTTGATCTAGACCTTCTTATTGAATTTCCTCCATCCGAACTGAATGTCCAGATGGAAGAGTGCCATAATCTAAATGAAGAAATCCAAACATTGCTCGTTCAAAGAACTATAAACTCAGTTAAAGGTGCAAGAGTCAAGACATTATCAAAAAGAGCAGATTTACTTCTATCTCAATTCCTACAAAATTTGCTGGATCAGAGACTAAATTTACCTCTGAAAATAGGAATTTCGCTAGATTCATTAGAATTGCGGGAATCCTTTGCCTCTATCATCACCAATCTTCACAATGTGTTTTATATGGACAGTCGGAAGATAAATAGTTTTTATTTAAACATCATTGAAAACAATTTGTTCGGAGATCAATTCCAGCCAATAGATTTCATGAAATTTCTGAAGACTGATTACCTGAGAGGCAAAAACTTAGCTAGCGATTTCTGCTCAACTATATTTTTCGCAATGTTTCAAGATTCACATTGATATAATTATGCTAATGATATGCTTGTGAAGGGGGTTTATAAGTCAAAGAATCATAGAATTCAGAATATACTCACTAATAAAAGTTCAGTGCCAATGAAAATGAAGGTATTTGTCAGTCAATGTTACATCAAACTAAAATCCCTAGTGAAATCAAATGATTTCAACAATACTTACTCAGAAAATGAAACTGAGTTTAGAATATATCTTCTTCTGTTCTTTATCCTATTGCATACCTTCTGGATTCCATACTCTAAGAAATGAAATAAAGATTGATACGGAGTGTTTCGAAAGCTATCAGAGATTTTTCAAGCTGTACCAGCTTCAAGTCTTCTTCTTGACAACAATATCAGAGCTACAATGCTGTTTATCAGGAACATATTAATAACTGAAAAATCAGAAATCCCTCCATTTGCTCCAAAGTATCCGAGAAATGAACAATATTCCTCAATTTTCTCTTTATCTCTCGAACAGATTTATGCTCTGCATCTGTCTGCAAAGGCTTATTACAAACAAAGATATGTGCATCAGAGGCATGATCCCAGATATGGCATTGGAGATCATAAGAAAGAACTCATCAAAGAAATATTATACCAAATGTCCACCGAGCCTGACCTTGATTTCGCTTTCCTAAGCCATGATAACTACAATAGTGAAGAAATGAAGCAGATGAAGAGGAAAAAGAAACTGTTCTGTGAAAATGATGTTGCTATTTTAAGCATTGAGATGGAGAATAACTTTGATCCTTCTCAATATATCACTCTCTCAAAAAGGACTCACAAACATATGAATTTGCTTGATAAATGGATAGAGTACACAAAGAAAAAGGATAAGAACACGCCTCTTGATACTTTAATCAAAGTATCAGATGCTCTTCAAGCTGTGAGGGAAATTAGAGAAAGTGGGCCTCGGATCAAGAAGTACACCAAGCATGTCCAAGAAACCAAGATTTCCAAGATAAGTCTTGAAAATCTCTTAAAGACTCTTGAAAGTAAATAACTCATTGTTTCAATATCTTATAATATTCTGGGGTTTTGGGGTTTTGGGGTTTTGGGGTTTTGGGG